TGAATTAGCTGGTAACTCTGGGGAAGTTACATAAAATCATACCAAAAAAGGTAAGCGAAACATTTTGAAATTAAAACATATTTCCAATGTGTTTCCATGGAAAGATCGAATGTGAAAGAATCACTGATTTCCAGACATTAGATTCCTTAAGATCAGAGACCCTGTCTTAATTTTCCTGCATTTCCCAGTGCCAAGTGCCTAAAACACTGTAAGACTACACACACACGCGCGCGCGCACGCACACACGCATGCATGCACACACATTAATATATCATTATATATTATACTATTTATAGGATGTATAATAATACTTATGTATCATGCTGTTTAGCAAGTTATCAATATATAACACATACATATTCCATAGTAATGAATTTACTGAATAGTGGTTAATTAGCTTAGGAGAATGGGATGTTACATGGTGTTTTCATTTGGCTAACCTCTCATTAGACGCATATCTCGACCTCGACATTGCCTCTTTTCTAAAACTTCTTTTACCCAGAGGGAGGTCAAGGTCAGGTATTTGGTTCTCATCCTGTCACCACACTTCTCCCTGTATTGCCTTCTATATTTGTCTCTTTCCCAAGCTACCTAGAATATCCCGACCAAACCAAACAAAAAGGCAAAAACAAATTTGAAGGTAGGAACTGACCGCTGCCCGTTGCTATTCAAGTTTCACATGTTGCTCTGTGCACAAGAGAGATTCAATAATATTTTCTAAATTCAATAATATTTTCTGTATTTTGGAATCATTTCATATCGAAAAGCCAACATCTTTCTTTCCTCATAGAGGTTCCTAGTACCCAAACCGACAAAGTTAGCCATGAGCCAGAATATCTAAATTGATTGGTGTGAGGCCAGTGCTAAAAATGGAAAACCAGAGACAGAGTGTCTCATCGATTCCTGCGTGAACAGTGCCACAGCTGGGTGTTGAGTGCAGTGAAGGTGCTGGTCGATCTGCCCTGGTGGAGCTGGTGTGTGGGAGCTTGTCAGATGAAGACACCAAGTAGAAGAGCAAAAGAGAACTATCTCCTGCAGAGCCCCTCTGCCAGGGCCATCCAAGGAAATCCAGGAGATGTAGTCTTAGGAATATGAAGACCCTTTTATTTCAGTTACGTCGACAGGTGAAATATAGGATTTTCTGGTAGTCTGTGTAATACTGGGCAAGATATGATCTAATAGCAATGACCACTCATCATGGCTTCTGGGGTGATGTCAGATGGTTTTTAATAGGTGTGTCAGGCCATATTGCCCAATGGAAAAATATCTTTTCAGTTCAGATTCTAAGCAGGGAGTAGTCCTTCCCATCAAAATGTGTTTAAGAAGTTCCTCCCATGGCCAGGATACTGACGCATGCTGGTTTGGTGAAAGGACACACACAGACACACACACACACACACACACACACACACACACACACACACACACTCCAAAACAATAACAAGCTGCTCACATAGAGGACTGAGGCTAGAGAGACAGGAACCTACCACCCCACACAGCCTTTCTCAAAGATTAGTGGGAAGGCAAGTAGGAACCACAGGAAGGCCTCCATGGAAACTGGTCGCTAGTTTGTTACTTAAAGGCTATACTTGAGCCAGTAAAACAGACAAAACAAAAAAGAATCTGGTAAGGGGTCCAAAAAAGTGGACATGCAAAACCAATAGAACAGAACAAGACAATTTGGGGCATAGAAGAGGGTCCCTATGTTCATGGAAGAAAAACATAGTATGGATTCAAACTAGTCTCTAGAGTCTTTAATTAGGGTGTTGTTAGTTCCTTGGAGAGAATGATCTGGAGATTGATATGAGAAATCTCCGTATATTTGTTAGAATTTATTATACACATAATATGTAAATATGTGTGTAAATATGTATATGTACAAATGTACTTATTTATGTATAATGGGATGTATACCACACTTTTTATAGACTAGGCAATTATAAATCTTAACGGATACTGTTGTTGCCTTCATATAATCTCAAGTTTAAAATCTTATTTATGTATCATGTCTATTTTCTATTACTGTCTATTATTTTCCTTCCTTCCTTCCTTCCTTCCTTCCTTCCTTCCTTCCTTCCTTCCTTCCTTCCTTCTCATGTTTCCCCTTTCTATTCTATTCTTGTCTCTTTGCTTCCTTCCTTCCTTCCTTCCTTCCTTCCTTCCTTCTTTTCTTTCTTTCTCTTTCCTTCTATCTAACATCTATTTATCTATGCATCTTCAAACCAAAGACAAATCTATCTGTCACAAATTGTCTATTTTTTGCTATTTTTTTCTGAAGTTCCTCATTTTGCAGTTTCTGAAAGAAAACTACTATTCAAAAGGTTGGTGTTTTGTCTTTGTTCATACTGAGTTCTTTTTAAAATTTCTAACATTTACAGATGTTTATACCTCTAAATATTTATTGCTCAAGTTTTATCACTCCCTCAAGAAAAAGCTCTCTCCTTTCTCCTCTCAAATAATCCATTTCCAACCCACTTTCTCAACTATTTTATCTTAACTAGATCCTTCTGTATTTGAGGCTTTGTCTTCCTGTGTCTAAGGTTTTAATCAAGTTGGGTGGCAAATTCCTTGGCAACTGTGATTTCCTTTATATCCCGCAAAGTTCTTAGCACAAGAGTGGGATAACAGTAAACGTTCAACACGGATTTGCTAGTTGAACTTAATTAAAAAAGTAAATATTATTCCAATATCTGAACCAGTGACAGGCCACAAATACAAAAACTTGGGTTTGGTGCTCATTTACCCCTTGTCGAATCTGGGGATGTCACATCTGAGATGTCAATTCTGATAGCTTACACCAAAAAGATACCAACGGTGACTCATTAATGCAGAATATCAAAAAGCCCTCCCTACTGTCGCTTGTCCTAACCTGAAATTTCTTCATTTTTGAACTCTGTTTCTGCAGCCCTGGAATGCATTCCTCCTGAGATAAGCATGTCATCTTTCCTAGGTTACTTATGTAAGGTTAAAATAATTAATCAGGAGGTGCCAGAGCCTAACTTTGGTTAAGAGTAGAAGGAGCTGGATTTTATTTGGAACGGTTCCTCATTTGAATAAATGTTTACTGAAGTGAGTAAACAGAGGGAGTTCCATCTAAAATTTGGAGAGGAGACAGGCCTAGAGCAGATTAGGGAAGCTGGGAGGATCTAAGAGTTTAACTTTTCAGTGGCCGATTTAAAATTTGTGCTTGCGCATATGCATTTCAGACACGATACAGGTGTGAGAGTTCTAGGTACAAGGCATTGCTCTTCTTCTAAAGTGAGTTTATTACTCATTCCTGCATCACGGCATCTAGTACAGAGCCACAAAAACATCGTTGTGCTGAAACATTATTTGTTTGTTTGTTTGTTTGTTTTTTAGGCGAGGCGACCCTTAGTTGGCCTCACAGATTGCAAGGACCTTGTCAGTTTACAATCCCTTATTTTTTATTTTTTACACCTACAGCACCTGGTCTTCCTAGTACTAACCAGGCCCGACCCTGCTTAGCTTCCAAGATCAGACGGGATCAGGTTTGTTCAGGATGGCATGAAACATTATTTTTGTGTGACTCTTTTCTTCAGAGATAGTTTATCGATCGAGGTACTACAGAGCCCAATTAAAAACTGACAATTCAAGGAGAAATATTGCCGTAAACGGTATGGTTTTAAGGGAAGATGGTTGGGTTATAAAACAGTACTTTCTTTCCATTGCTACCCAGTCATAAGTAGTGCGTACGTAGACCATTCATTCGATTATCTTCCGCTTCCTCTTTCACAAAGGAGGATGTTAAATCTCTAGACATTCGCTCTGGTTTTCAATCCAATTTTGCATTGAATCTTTCGGTGTTTAAGATTGTGAGATATGAGAGAAAAATTGTCTTCAAAGTACTTTCATTTTACTTCCTTTTATATGAATGAACTTCAGCTGAATTATACCTTGTAGTAAACATTTTTTAATAATCATTCTCTTTTAGGATTTCATAATTCAGTTTTCACAACATCTCTAAGAAGGGTAAAAAAGAGATGAACACTTATGGAACACCTTTTAAAAGCAAAGCCTCTGACATTTATTTCATTCTTTAAAAGGCCTTATGACATGGAAATTTTCTCCATTTTACAATTACGGAAACTAAGACGTCAAGTACTGGGCTAAAGGCCACTGAGCAGGTAAGGGCTGGGCAGTGCTAGGCTCCACTCTCAGGTCAGCCTGAATCACAAGCTCCTGTTCTTTCCAGCACAGGATGCTGGCATTCTATAAAAAAGGTAGGTATCCCATTTAACAGATGGAAAGACTGATGTACAGAGAACCAGGGGACTTCCTCAATTGTACAGTAAATCAACGATTTTGGTGTCGGGAAGAAAATTCGAGTCTTTTTGGAACAGAGTATAAGTTCAGACCGGGAACCAGAAAATATCCTTTTGTGTGATAACTATATTTCTATTTGATGCCAGCACTGAATTTTCCGGGTTTTAAGACTGTGATATGAGAGAATCGAGCTTGTCGTATTTACATATATTTTATATCAAATTCTAGTGATACACTTGATGCTGTCTAGACACTATCTCGGGATAAACATACTTTATATCCTAGATATTAATAAAACTTTATTTTTTCCAAATAATGCATTGTAGCTTTCCTAGCTCTTCCTGCCCCCCTCCTCTCC